GACCAGGCTCGGTCCCATGTTTAGATATATTGTAAGTAAGCAGAAGGTCGGCAAGGGTCAAATCCAGAGCCTCTAATTTTCGGCGCACCAATAGTGCCGAAAGGATGCGAAAGAAATTGGGATTTACCTGAAGGGGGGCAAGACCTAACTTATTGAAAACTAAATGATAGAAGGGATGAAGAGGGAATCGGAGGGCGTTAAGGTGCCCTACCGAAAGAAGCAACTCATCCTCCTCAATTCCCTCGCCGGAGGTGAAATCGGCACCCTCGGGATATTCTGCAATTTCTACTCCCTCAGGAATATCAAATTCCTCCATTACCGAAGCAATAGAGAACTTAATGCGGCGAATAGAGATGATTACTTTCTTCTCTTCATGGGTAAGAGCATAATCAGAGCCTGAGGTGGATGTTTCGGTTGGAAGAGGGGAAGTACCTAATGGATTCAACGAAGGGCGATCTGTAGAAACCCTAGGAGGGGGAGCCCTAATGCGAACGGGGGAAGATGAAGGTGTGGATTCAGAATCCCCAAGGTCTACACGTTCGGGAGTAGATGAAGTACTCATAATGAAAGATTGAAGAGAAAGATGCGAAACTAACCTGACAAAGCGATGGAAGTGATGGAATGAAGGACGCAGAAGTGCAGCAAGGGCAAATGTAACTCTTGCAAAATCTTGTGTGACGGAGTAATAATGAAAGACCACGAACCGTTTCTGAAGCAAAGTAAAAACCGGTTTCAATTCCCTCTTTAATAGGAGCCGTCACTCAATTAAAAATGGAATTTGGGACAAAGTGTGGAGGGAAAAAAACTCCCCCCAATAAAAAGTGCACACGTCACCACCACACATATCTACATTCCAAGGGCATTTAAGGCCCATCATGCTCAAGCCCAAATTGAGGGTACTTACAGCCCAAGACCATCGTTATTTGTCCTCCATCTTCCATCAAGGCCGAATCAAGAAGTCATCAGCCCAGCTTATGAGTATTTAACATCCGGCCTGTTACTCAAGCCCAGCCGGATCGAAATATATTCAGCCCAAGAATGCACAAGTCCTACCATTTGAAGGATTTACTGTAGAAGGAAAATTCTGTACAAGGCAAGTTTTATGTATGAAAAATTCGACAATGGAAAGAACTCTATTAGAAAAGAATAGTTATATAGAAAGAATTGGAGGGCAAGCAACGCAAATCCTACCATAATTTTGCAATCTTTTGTATATAAATAGAGGCTAAGACCTCCAATAAAGGATCAAGCAATTCCACACTTCTCTATACATTGTTGTTATTGATTTTTGTTATTTTTGAGTGAGTTGTTTTATTTTTCTCAATCATTATTGGTTGAGCGAAATTTTGCACCTACAAACTCAAAACCATATTCGATCCAAACCCACTTTTAACAACTCAACAGTGAACCAAAAAAAAAGAAGAAACAGAGGATCTCAAAACCATATTCGATCCAAACCCGGTGGCGCAATTAGCGAGGATGCAAGGATGATCAGCGGGCAAATAACCACGAACTGCGGCGAATTGTTCGGAGGTGGATGATATTTGGTGGTGAAGCAGCGGTGAAGGACTGAAACAAAGACGATGAGATGTGGGCCGATTGCAACGGTGATTGGGCAGATCATTTCACCTCGACTGACCATTCTCTAACACCCAAGCAGTTCTCCCGTTCTCGAGGCTTACGTACGCCACCATCTTTTCTGTAAATTCACAAATGACAAGTTTTTGTTATGCAGAATGATGGCAGTACATATACTAACCCTCAGCCTACATCTCTTCCAACACAAGTATGCCCATTTCAAACTCTGAGCTTTGGATCTGCATGCATTCCAAGCAGCCTTGAAAGAAAAGAATGCAGAGAAAGTTTTAGAGAGAGAGAGAGAGCGGAGGGGGGGGGGGGGGGGGGGGATTGAGACAAATGGTACGGATTCTACTTAACCTGATAACCCCTTAGAGGATGATGTATTTTTTTTGGGGAGTGCAACTCTGGGCCCAATCCGAAATAATTCCAGTTAAGTCCGAATTTTTGTGGGTCTGTACAATATTTTTATAATTTTATTTTTGGCTTGGGTTATATATTTTGAGTCCGAATTTAATTTGGACTGAGCTTAGGTTGATATGGATGAAGCTCGAAACCCAACCCGAGCCCGAAAATATTATATATATTTATAATTATATTTAAGTCACAAGAGTGTATTAGTTAAGTTAGTAGTGTGCTTGAAATTTATGCTTAACGTTTCAGATTTAAGTCTTGGGTAAAATTTTCTATGGGCTTAGTGCGGGCTTAGGCAGCTCGGCTCAAGCTGAAAATTTTCTATATGAGCCTAGCCTGAGATGAGTGCCAAGTCCGCCCGAGTTGCAGCCCTAATTTATGTAATTTTGTGGTGATGTAAGGTTAGTTTTGTAATTTTATATTGATCAATAGGGTTAAAAAATGTCATTTCAAATATTAGAAGGGAAAAATAGACTTTGTACTAATTTATTCATGATGACATGAGCACAAACCGTTAATGACATAACGGGGTAACTTGATACAGAATTCAAAACCTCAACGAAGGTAAGTAGAATATTAAAACCTAGAGGAGGTGTAAGTGGAATATGATCAAAGGTCGGGGTGTAGCTGAAATTAACCCAAAAATCATTGGTACTGTAATTGATTGATAGTTGATCACTTATCCTTTTTTTTTAACCGCCAAGTTTTTTCACACAACCAGTGGCAATGAGAAAAGACACAGATTCTAGATTAATCTCCGATCCACGAAACGATCAACTGCCACGTGTCCACTCTCTCTGCTCATCCCATCCCATTACCTCTCACCGTCAATGATCAGTTAAAAAAATCAGAGACTTCTTTCAGATCCAAACACCAACAATCCACCCTAATTTTCTCTCTCTCTTCACGATTATATGTTTTGATTTTGGAAAATACCAATTAAATTGCATAAAAGTGCTTAAGAGATTATGGTGGTTAAGAGATTAAGTGTATATTATATCCAAATACTAGTTATTAGGCATAAATAATTGTACAACAAATAACAAAGTCAACTTTTTCCAAAAACGTACCCCTTATATGTTGAAACAAGGAACCTTCATTGTCCATTCATATGATCTTGGTAACTAAAAAGACGAGTTTGCAAACTTCATTGCCTCGTCTTGCCTTAGGAATGTAGCCAATACTTCCTCTTTAGGACGAAATAAAACCATAGTTAACATCTTTGTGTTTTCTTTTCTTTCTCGCATGGCAGATTGTGAAATAGAAGATGATAATTTTTTATTATAAAATCAAACAAACATAGGATAAAACGAGCAACTAACTTATTTCATCAGGTTGTGGAAAAGTATAGCGGAAAAGCATATTTTCATTTCAATCCTTGCACAAACTTCACCAAAAAGCATATATACTACGTGGCAATGACGATCTGAAGGAACTGAAATTTAGACACAACAGGTAAAGTTTTAACTCATGAAACCCATAAAAACAATTATAAAAAATGGGATAAGCCGACACACCAGAAACAAAGTTTGACAAGAACCAACAAATAAAGCAATTAAATTCAGTTAGGAGCAGATCAGTGACACATATTTGGCAGCTAAATCTAATACTTTGAAGTCCTAAATTTGGAACATATGCCACCATTCAACTTCATAGTTCCATCTCAAAGATCACATTCACTTGACAAGTCCAAAAGGGGTACGGTCCAGTTGATCTTGCATTGTAAGTAAACGCATAAACAAATAACTACGTACTGATATGTGGAGACGTTTGTATTCAAAATTAATTCCTCATTGGACATAATCATTTATAAATATCAAGGAATATGAAACGACATCAACAATATACATGAATAAGCTACTAAATCAGTTACAGAGAAATGCAAAATCTAGAATTTAATAGTACAGACCTAAGTGGAGCAACAGATGAAGAACTATGTATATTAGGTATATTAAATGTATGTATTTGTGTGTGTGACGGAGAGAGTACACGGAGGAGCGACCAAATTTGAAGCACTCAAACTAACAACTAACATATATTGTTTGCATCTCCAAACAATTTATGTTGTTCATGAATGTCATATATATAGTTTTGTGGTTAATGACAGTTTTAACTTATCTAGTTTCCTTGCAATCACAGTAGCTTGTTAAGGATCAAATTGGAAGAGAATCAATACCTCAATAGCACACAATGCAACTAAGTTCATCAAGAGCGTAATTCAAAGTTCAAGAACCTCTAACTGATAACTAAATTGAAAAAATGCTATATAAACATGAACTAAATGCAGGAGCTTAAAGTTTAAACAACTAAAATTTTAATGATTAATTGGATAAAAACTCTCTAAAAATCAAATTAGAGATGAACCCAATTATTATATTACTCATTAATCAAGACAAACTCAGATTCAACTTACTACTTATTGATACATTTACCTTAAGCTAACCTCAAGAAACTGCCACTTCATTTTATTGAACACTTAGGCATGTAGCAAATCATCTAAATAAAGAATGTCGAAGCAGTCTTAACATGCTTGAAAGAATTACTATAACGATCATATATACATTATGTAGAAAAATTAATCAAATCCTCTACTAATAATAAGTACTAGCATCACAAATGAACCCAATTATGTTATTCATTAATCAAGAATTCAATAAAAAGCTAAACTAAAAACCAGAAACTCTGCTTTCAACCAAACTCATATCCAATATCATGAATGAGCCCTCAAGAATAACTGCAAGACAAACTCAGATTCAACTTACTACTTATTGATACATTTACCTTAAGCTAAACCTCAAGAAACTGCCACTTCATTTTATCGAACACTTAAGAAATTACGTATGTACTGGATCAATTTCCTAGCACGGTTGGCACAATCCAAATTGAAGGCGGCATATCATTAAGTGAACCATCAAGAATGTAAATTGAAGGCGGCTTATCCTTATCCTTATATGAAGGATCAAGAATGTAATGTGTCCCTAAGCTTCCATTTTCTATGTTGAAGATACCAATGTCACGGCGTACATATGGCAAGGGAGAAAAAGTTCAATATAATCATCTGTGTAGTATATGGAATTTGGCTGGCAACCACACCATTTAGAAGATGAAACACAAATTGAATGGTTATCTCCCAAAAACAAGGTGTCTCCGCCCAAACTTTTCACTTTAACCCACTTAGCCATATCCTTCTCAGATTGCTGTAAAAGTATCTTGAAAACCTTAAACGTTGAAGTTTCATGTGTTTCATATGTGGAATCGTCTTCATCTATTTTTAGAACCCTTTCTACAAGAAGTAAATCTCCACTAGATGATTCAACAAGATATATCTGTTTTTTAGTGACACTCTATTACCTTCACTTGGGGAACCTTAGTCTCCCCATCCCTTCTATTAAGATCAACCATTATGATTCCATTCCGATAATCAACTGCAAAAATCTGGCCTTTATAATATATGACATCCCTAATAAGGGTAAATTTCTTATCTATGAAAGTCCAAGCTTTATCTCCAGGCACAATGAATGTCAGTGTTCTCAGACCACCATAGATCACGCTAACAATATAGTTATTTGGAAACAAAGCAGGGTCAGCAGACAAAGTAGCCTTTACAAGTTCAAACTCAACCTCAGGAGATCATAAGCATGGAATTCTGAAGAGTCCATAATTGGAGGAAGCTCAACAATAGCTCCCGAGAACTGGTTGATTAGGGTTAAGGCAAAAGATTCTTCAACAGTAAACAACCAACCATGTGAAGAACCAAAAAGCTTCTTATTGTAAGGTACTTGTAACTGAAAATTATATACCTTATTGTGGGTAATGCTGTATAAACTACGTATTTCTTCACATTCATCATCTTTACTATCGTCATTTTTAGTAGGTACCAGCAAGAATGGAACACATTTATTTTGAACGAACTTAACTTTGTTCTCCATTGCCACCAAGAGCCATGATTTGCAGACTGCGCCAAAGCGAACACAATCGGAAAGAGAAACCAAGTTGTCGACAATCATACCCAATAAGTGCTTCGGAAGCCATGCCCAATCTGAAGCCTCCAATGACCCCATATCCGACCAAGGAATCTGAACGATCAATAAATAAAATAGCGATTATAACATGTAAATATATATGAACAATCACAAAAACTCACGTTACTGTACGATACAAACCAATCAGAAGAACAGCGATGAGTTGAGGATACAAACCAATCAGAAGAAAGTTAGATTTATATAGAGAACAGAGAGTTCGAGGAATCCTAATAGAAAAAGGATTAGTTGAGGGGTCTTATTTCCTCGTCGCTCTCTAAAACGACGAAACTCTATTTTACTGTTCCAACTTGAGTGTTAAATGACAATAGTATCCACGTTTTTTGGGTCATTAATTAATAACCTTCCGAAAAAAATTCAATAATTAATTATTCTTTGTTTAGACTCTATTTTTCCTTAATCTCCTCTACAGACTAAAATTCAAAAAATTTCTCTTGGCCTCTGATTTAGGGTTTGAGTAGTGATTTATGGAACGAGTGGGAGTGGTGGGCACCATATGTACGAATATTACTGAAAACGGTTGGAGGCCAAAAGCAGAATTTCTAAATTGGGCATTCTAATATTTAATATATTAATATAATATTAATATTTTTTATTCAAGAAACATAAAACATTATTTGCATTTTTAGCTTTAAAAATTAGTGATTTAATTTTGTAAGCAATTAATGTCTAAGAGTCCAAAAAAGATATAATGTTGAATAATTATTGATGTGCAAAAGAATTAAATAATTATAAGAAACGTAATGATAGAACTAAAACTTCTCAGTTTTTAAGAAATTTGTATTGATTAATATAATAGGAGTTATATTTAGGGTCACACTCTACTTTTCTACAATTGTATTTTATTTATTTTTTTTCTTTTAAAGGAAATGATAAAAAAAGTCCTTAAATTCATTGATGCACCGACATCTCTAAAGAAAATAATTTATTTCATACTAAAATTTTTATTTTTGGCAGTCAAAAGAGATAATTTATTCATAAGAGATAATTTATTCATAGTGAAATTTTGTTTGTACAATAAAAAGATATATTTATTCAACAAAGTTAACTTTATTTTTTGGTAATTTTTTATGGCCTGCCAAAAGAAGAAAATATTCATTTTATTTTAATTGTTAAAAGAGACTGAAAATATTAAAAATTAGAGATAAATGAGAGAAAATTTGAAAGGACAATTGTGTTATTTAAGAAGTAATAATTATTTACTTGCAAAGTTAAGATTAAAATTGTCACATTGTATTTACCATGGTAGTGCATTTCCTTCCTATATTTATATAGTAATTAATACATTAAAGGAAATATAATTAATACATTAAAAAAATTTTAAAGGCTCCTTTTTCATTATATTGTATTGATCAATATAATAGAAGCTGTATTTATATAATAATAACATAATTAACACATTAACATAAATAGGAGACCCTCTTTTCCTACGCCTTAGAGTTGAGCCGACCCTCAGAACAATACGAGATGTTAGGCCATCTCCAGCGGGCCGGCTTAAGCCCATTTCCAGCGAGCCAAATGGACTATTCCTTCTCCAGCGGGCTAGCTTAAGTGAATGGGGCCCAGTAACGATTGCGGGCCGGCTCGCGGTATTCAGCGAGCCGGCCCGCGATCACTGCCCATTTTTTTTTTTTGTTTTTTCTGCTTCAAAAACGGCGTCGTATTGGCGGCCTATTTTGTCTCATCTGCATAATGGTGGAACAGTATCCAAACAGTGCCTTAAGGCACTGTTTGGCAGAATTATTTTATTTTTTTAAAAAGCTAAAAATAGGTTCTTTTGAGCTTTTTTTAGGGGAAAAAAAAATTAAAATAAAATTCATTAAATAAAATATATATTATTTAGGCATTGTTTGTCCAAAAAAAAAATTTTTTGGGCCAAAAATAAATTAAAAAACCTATTTTTTTTTTGTTTTTTCCCTTAAAATTTGTTTTTTTTTTTAAAAAAAATTTTTCTTTAAATTTTAAATGGAAGGCCAAATAGTGTATTTGGCTATTAAGGCACTATTTCTACAGTACCAAATAGTGCCTTAACGGCTATAATTTAAAAAAAAAAAAGTTTAAAAATTCAAATTTTACCCTTTTTTTTTTTTGTTTTTTCCCTTAAAATTTGATTTTTTATTAATTTTTTTTGCTTTAAATTTTAAACGTGTAGGCCAAATAGTGTATGTGGCCGTTAAGACACTATTTCTATAGTACCAAACAGTGCCTTAACGGCTATAATTTTATAAAAAAGTTTAAAAATTCAAAATTTTTAACTTTATTCAAAAAAAAAAAATTAAATTAAAATTTTTAAAATCTCTATAAATACCCCAACTCCTACCATCACTCATCACATCTCTATTATCTACCATTCAACTTATTTTTTCTTCTTTTTTCTCAATCTTAGCTATTATTTTCAAAGTCATTTCGATTCCATGGATCCTCGACATCCATATTATTACAACACCCAATTCAACCCATCAAATGATGAGTTTTTGCCATTTCCCGAAGAGAATATCAATTATTATGGAGGAGATTCTCAATTTCCTTATCATCAATCATTCCAACCTTCTTATCAACCACCTCAAACTTCTCATCAATATTGTGGTACTAGTGTTCCACAATCAAGTAACTCAAAACCCCCGTCAAAACAACCGGCTACCCGACATAATAATTGGACCAAGGCTGAAGATGAAGAGGAGTGGATTTGACTTTGACATTAATGAGTCTATTGGGCACTCATTACCATTTACTCCGTCAAGTCATGCAGCCACGACAGATGGAGCTTCAACTGAAGAATCACCACACGTAGGGGAAAATGATTCACCTGGTGTGGAAGAATATCAACTACAAAGACCAGCAGGGAGAAAAGCGGCGAAGCAATGTCGAGCAAAAATTAATTCAACGAATGAATTGCAAACTTCATTCGTTTCGAAATTTAATAATATCACCACCCGTTTTGAGAGTCGTCAGGAAAAAATGCAGGATGCTCAAGTGGCACGAGAGGTTAGGAAAATGGAAAAAGAGAAGACAAGGCAGCTAGAGATTAAAGAGAAACAAAGACTTGAAAAGAAGGAACTCATGTTAATAGATCCAGATTCGGCACCAACAAAAGCGGGGAAAGCTTGGATTATTGCACGACAAAATGAGATATTAGTATCTTTGAATTCACAGTCCGGCCCAAAGTTCCCATAGGATTTTGAAATCCTTGATCTATTTATTTTCTTATTTCAATTTAGGATATTGTATTATTTAAGTTATTTTTAATTGTTTTGTTTAATTTTTTTTTTTTTTTAATCCATAATGGATAATGTATTGTTTTAAGTTCTAATATCAATCGTAGTTTTTTTTTAATAATTTACAAAAATATTGTTTGATTGAAAAATATTGCCGTTAAGAAAATATAGCTGTTAGGAAAAGTTAAAAAAAAAAAAAAATTAATTTTAATTTTTTATTATTATTATTTTTGAATAGCGAAAATTCGGAGAGTCTGATGGAGTGCATGTTTCTGGAGAGCGAAAATTGCTGACGTGGCTCTTGGAATTGTTGATGTGGCTCTTGGAAAAACTGATGTGGCGTTTTTAAAAAGGTAAAATTCGGAGAGGCCGGTGCAGATGGCCTTACAGCACTAAAAGATTCTTCCGGACTTGTTCCAAAAACTCTATGTTTGCAAAATAGAAATTTCAACACGATTTTGCTAGAGTTAGCTGCTCTTTAATTCAGCACTAAATTTGATTAAATGCATTAATAATTCAGTTTGAATATTACTAAAAATGATAAGAGCCATTTAAAATAAAATAAAATTTTAAGTGATTGGGACATCATTTATTACTGAGTACTGATTGTTAAAAATTCAAAAAAAAAAAAAAAAATATTTATATTTTAATTACGACTTTAGTACTTAAAATTTTTCAGTATTTAATTTTTATTCTTATCAAACAACACTTTATTATCCTTTTCAATATATATAAGGCTCGATGCCTCTTAAACTGATCTTGCTTGTGTTGTTCACTGGTTGTGTTTATTTTGGAAGGATATGCAATAATTTTCTATTATTTGTTTTGTTCATATTGATTAATGAATTTGTGTATATAAATATATAATATTTGTTTGTATACAACGTATTGTATTTATTTTGGGATATATATATATATATCTTTGATTATTTGAAAAATGAAGAAACCTTATATTTATATGTTTTCTGTATTTTAAGCTGGGTTAGATGGAGGTTTAATATTATCTGGGTTTTTTTTTTTTTTTTTTCTTATATGAAGAAATACTGAAACTTTTTTTACCTAAAGTGGACAAAGAAATTGGGAATTTAAACAAGATCAAAGTTCAGTTTGTGTCCGCAACCAAGAAGAGCTATATGTGTAGAAATCACTTTGTTTTCTTTATTTGTTGAATTATTCATTATATTGCAAAAGATTGAATTAGTACTCTCATTATTCACTTTTTGTATATGTTACTGTGATTATGTTTCAGCAAGAGATTTTCAATTACTGAAAAGATGTGGCGTTATTGAAGCAAAAATAATGGTTAGACCAATTACATAATAGTTGATTGTGACAAGCTATTTATAACTGAGGAATCTATCTTCTCATGGAGTATTATCCTTTCCATATCCTCTGTTTAATTGAGGGTCTGTGCATGTAGCTATTTTTTTTTTTTTTTTCCCATTAATATATAGCTATTTATTTTATTTTTTAAGGTCATTTTAGTTTGAAAAATAAAAAACATGAAACTTTTGAAGATGTTGTATGCTTGTTATGGTTCGCATTATCGGTCACGGTCGCAATGGTAGTGTAACGGACTCGGACAAAGTCAGTGTAAATTGACCGATACAGATCGGTATCAGAATTAAAAAATGGTCGCGTATCAAATGATACGGCGAATCATGATACTTACATCGTTGTTCCATTCCAAGTGTGCTTACTTTTCAATTAAAAAGAGAGAGAAAAAGAGAGCTTTTAGTAACTTCCTTAAAATTCAAAACTTTGAAAAAATTTGTTCAAATAGTCTGAATCCTTTTGCAAATTTAT